CCAATTTATCTTCCACCCCGACAGCTGCAGTTCGGCGGTTCAAATCTCACCGGCTCAAGGTTGACTCAGCCTTCCATCCTTCCAAGGTGGGTGAAATGAAGACCCAGACAGTGGGGGCGATATGCTGACTCTGTAAACCGCTTAGAGAGGGCTGAAAGCCCTATGAAGCGGTATATAAGTCTAACTGCTATTGCTATCTCCAGCCTGGAAATGAAAGTTCTCTTTTGATCCATTCTGTTGCCAAGCCTTTGTCAGTCCCATTAGTTGGTTTTTCCCGTGTCCAGCACTTAGACATTACAGTTTGAGCTATTAGAAAGAAGCTTTCTTTAAAAATATATTTTGAACAATTTTATCATTGTACTAATTTTATTCTATAGGTTCTCAGTCTGTCCATGAGAAAGCTCCTCTAGTGAAAACCTTGCTCTTGGTTGGCCCTGTAGGAGTAGGGAAAAAAATGCTTATTCATGCTCTGTGCACGGAAACAGGAGCCAACCTGTTCAATTTATCTGCGGCAAATATTTCTGGTAAATATCCTGGCAAGGCTGGTCTTCAGTTGATGCTACATATGGTTTTTAAGGTAGGGTCCAGAAATATTTCATTATTAAATTTATTATGCACTACTATTTAATTATGATAATGAATAATTATAACAGTGAAAATCCAGACTATTAAAATAGTTTGTTAGCACCCTGTGTTTCCTGTCTTTCCAAAATATTTTTACATTAGTGTATACATTTTGAAATCTTCTTTTCTTTGACTGATTTAATCTTCAATCCTATAGACCTTGGGAAATAAAGATTTGTGGTTTTCCAGATGGTGAGAATATTTTGACCTCAGAAACCTTGTTTTGGCTCCTGTGGAAAACAGAATAGTTGCTTTTGTACTGCTAACAAAAAAAATGAACTGCAAGACAGCCTCCGACAGTTCTGCAAACCAGTTACTAATCTATGCAAATTAAGAGCTAGGCTATGTTAATTGCACTCATTGGTTTCAGTGGAAGTAAATTATATAGGAAAAATAGGGAGGGCAGAAAATAAACAAAAGTGAGGAGGGGAGTGCTTCCTTGCTTTTGTCTTGCTGGTTAGAACCTTGTAGAATTTAAAGAAAACTCCAGCATCAAATGACTTAGAAACAAGAGTTAGGATTAGCTATACAGGTAATCCTTGTTTAACAACCACAACTATGACTGGCAACTTGGTTGTTAGCAAACCACTTGCTAAGTGAAACTGCAATTTTGCTTATGATTTTATTTTGCTTTGCTATACAGACCTGCAAAGATTATAAATGGGATAATTCGCCACAAAATTATTTGTCATCGTTTTTTAACTCTGAATTGTCATTAAATGAAAGTCACTCAATGACTGTATAACTTTTATGATCTTCCATGTTCTTTTGTAAAATACATTGTATTAATAAACATGGATTTAAAATGTCCTTTGAGGGGACCACATTTTCAATGGGAAATCAGTGGACCAAAAAACCTTAAGAATTTAAAATCAATCTCTTAAATATTCTTCCCCTCACAAAATTACGCAATATTTCCCCAGCCAGGGATAGATGGAATTTTTGAGTTTTTGCTCACCAATCATTTTTCAAAATTGATCAGTGCCTAAATTAATATTAAACGGAAAATATGAGGTGGATAACACTGTTCAGTGACATTAACTGTACTCTATTACCCGCTGATGTAAGTTACTTAGAAACTTCTTAATGAATCATTTAAAAGTGCTTGATTAAATTATTAATTATAAATTATTCTTTGGTTTGGTTTGGTTTGGTTTGGTTTATTAGATTTATATGCCGCCCTTCTCCCAAGGACTCAGGACAGCGTACAACATTAAAAGAAACACATAATACAANCTTCAACGGCTTCCTTTTTTCCCCATTGATTGACAAGTCTTTCTCGAGACTTCAGAACGTAGCAACTACCTATATTATTTACAGTTGTTCATGGAAGTTTAGAATCTATGTCTATTTCTCACCCATGTTAAGAATGCATTCCAACTAAGGAACGGTTAGGATCGAAAATATTCTAATTATGTTCCCTAACAATTTCTACTTGTTTCTACTTAAGTAGACCACTGCTTAAGCATGAGCCAGCAGTGTGCTACAGCTGTCAAAAAAGCAAATGCAGCCCTAGTCTGCATTAACAGAGGGACAGCATCAAGATCATAAGACGTGACAATACACTTTTATACTGCAATAGTGAGGCCACATTTGGAATACTGCATCCAGTTCTGGTCACCACAATACAAAAAAGACACTGAACCCCTAGAAAGAGAGCAGAGAAGGGCAACAAAGATGATAAGGGCTCTGGAGGTTAAATCATGTTATGAATACCTAACTCCAGGTATGTCTAGCCTATTGAAGAGAAGGACTTTGCGTGACAGGATAGCTGTCTTCCAAAACTTGGGAGACATACAAGAGAAGATTAACTTATCAGAGGGCAGGACAAGTATGGGTGGAGGCTTGTTAAAGAGAGATCAAAACTAAAACCAAGGAGACAGTGAGAACAATTAATCAATGGAGCAACTTGCCTCTTGGAGTTGTGGGTGCTTCATTACTAGTAGCTTTCAAAAATGGATTGGACAGTTATTTGACTGGGATAATACATGGTCTCCTTCCTTGAGCAGGGATTTGGACTGGATTCCTTCCAAATCTATGATTCAATTTCTATATTCTACTTTTTGAAACTAAGCTTTTTGTGTGGTGCATTTGTTTCTTCCTTGTAGGTGAATACAGCTATCTGGGGACTACACTTCGACAAGTAGATGTAGAACCAATGCCTTCTCTTACAGATGTGAAGCAACTTATAGTCCTGTATGGAATATTGCCATTAGGTAAGTTCACAGGAGAACTGGGCAAAAGGAAGAATACAATGCTTGGGTTTCTGACAGTTTCATATTTTTATTAGCTATGACGTTTGATTTATTTCTTCTGAAATAATTTTATACGGTTCTTATCTCTTAAAATATTTTCAGCTAAGATTAAAAAATGTCTAATTTTAAAAGCTTTAACTACAGCACCACTCTTTATAATTTTATTTCCATCATAACAGTTTGGCAGCTGCAGCATATACAAAAAAGCCATTTGGGGAAAACAACAAATTAAGTCTCCAATATTTAAATTAAATTTGAAGGAAGACCGAGATTTTAATGTATCTTTGATAAACCAGTTAACTTTTCCCCCTTTCTTTTTATTTATTTAGTTTTAAAAAAAGATACACTTCTAGAAGAGATAATATCAATAAGTAGACAAAGAAAATTTCTCAAGTTATACAATTACGTTCAATATATCCTCAATTTATTATTATTATGTATTATTATTTATAAATACCAACTATGATTTATAAATACTTTGGAGAAGGCTTTAATACTGGGAAAGGTGGAAGGAAGAAGAGGAAAACCAGCATCAAGTTGACTGAATTACAGTGGTGATGGGAGTGCTGTTGGAATTGCCTCCTAAAGGCTATGCACACCCCTTTTTTTGACACAAAATGAACCATTTTGGGGAGGTCTACAGAGTGCAAAAACTTTTTTTTTAATTTGCCTCTTCAAAATCTTGGTGCATCTTATGCTCCGGTGTGTCTTATACTCTGAAAAATGTGGTATGTCTCAAAGTTGCTGAAACCTCAGAGTCATACTGTAGAAGGCTGCGGTATAGGGTGAAACAAACGACTATATCTCCGCAAGTATTGCATCGGCAAAAATAACATTTAAAAATGTTCATTGGGGAAGTGTGTGCATGTTCACACCAAATTTCATCGAAATCCATGAGGGTTGAGTAGGACACTTTTCTGAAATCAGACCACTTGACATGGAATGACCCAGTCTCAGAAACTTTTTTATATTGTAACCAAAACCGAATGCAGTATTCCAAGTGTCAAACTTTCTTAAGTATTATCTTATTCCACAATCTGTTTAGACTTTAAAGAGGTGGCTTGAACAAAATTATCTTAGGATTCACTTAATTTAAACCAAAAAATACTAGTTTTTGCTGGGTCATTGTAAAGAAAAGGTTGAATTTTAATTATTTAGAAATTATATATATATTTTAAAAAGCTTGCTGCGCCAAGGTGGCGCTGTGGTTAGGGTGCAGTACTGCAGGCCACTTCAGCTGACTGTTATCTGCAGTTCAGCGGTTCNTAATTTAAGGTGGTTCTGACAAGTGTCGTCGGCATCTTCATATCCGGTCACATGGGCGGCAAGCCACTCCCATCCGGTCACATGGATGGCAAGCCGCTCCCACAAAGGAAGCCACACCCACAGAGTAGGTTTGAACAATTTTTGAAACCCACCACTGATGTGAACTGTGGGCTATAAAATGCCCAGATCTGCCCTAATGAAATCAGATGATTAAAACTGGCAGTGAAAAGTTTATACTTTCAGACTTGCCGGGTTCTGTTAAGGTAAAAATAAATTAGAGTTAGCTCATCTAGTTGTGTTTTCTGTCTGGTTTACCCAGGAGATCTGACACCAATCTAGTTTCTTCCTCTGACCATAAAGCCCTGAGGGCTCCCCTTTCCCTTTTCAGATTGTTTCCTAGCTAGCATCTCTTTTCCTCATCCCCCAAGGTCTTCCATGCATCCCATTATACCAGGTGAAATTTTATTTATTTATTATTTCCAAAAGCTCTTCAGGGTCAACTAATAAGTGGGTGGTCTTGAAATTGGAAGAAAGATGCAAATCAACAGGTTCAATCAAACCACATGTGCCTACAGAAGAGCAAAACTGCACCCAACCAGGAATTTTCGGTGATGTTCCATGGGAACCATCTGCTCTGCTGAAGAGGTCAAGACTTATTTCCTTTATCAGTTAACATTTGAATTAAGAAATAGAATAACAGAGTTGGAAGGGACCTTAGAGGTCTGCTAGTCAAACCCCCTGCTTAGTATACCACTTCAGACAAAGGGTTATCCAACATCTTCTTAAAAACTTAAAAACGTCCAGTGTTGGAGCATTCACAACTTCTGCAGGCAAGTTGTTCCACTGATTAATTGTTCTAACTGTCAGTAAATTTCTCCTTAGTTCTAAGTTGCTTCTCTCTTTGATTAGTTTCTACCCATTGCTTCTTGTTCTACCCTCATGTGCTTTGGAGAATAGCTTGACTCCCTCTTCTTTGTGGCAGTCCCTGAGATATTGGGACACTGCTATCATATCACCCTTAGTCTTTCTTTTCATCAGACTAGACTAGACATACCCAGTTCCAGCAACCGTTCTTCATATGCTTTAGCCTCCAGTCCCCTAACCATCTTTGTTGCTCTTCTCTG